GTGTTCCTGCGATGGTGACCCTGAGCGCAGTATCTGCCATCAGCATGGAAAATGACAGCCTGGCAAGGCGGGGAAAGTAGCACCAACACCAGTGAGAGCCTGGTACCTCCAAATAAGCGAAAACAGCAGAATCCCAAATATAACCTGCTGGCGCAGACTCTGCAATGGAGGCAGACCCTGTACTGTGTCCCTGCCAGTCCCCTGCCTGCTCCCACAGGCCTCCTGCTGCTGCCTGTGGGGTGCCCACTGTAAACAAGAGGCTCATCCCTGCACCTACTCTATGGCCCTCTCCCCAGACCCCAAGTGCTCTCAGTGGTCTCTTAAGAGTGCTCTCTGCCCTGCTTCCCAAGAAGCTGTGTGTGAGGCTTGCTGATCCTGGCACCTGGTCTGAGGATGCCTGACCTGCTATTTGCCTTTCATAAGCTTTTCAATTGGGCTTCTTACTGAAAGGAAGGCTCCCAATACCTCAGGCCCTGAGTTGTCCAATTCTTACCCAAAGGGACTGCAGATTTTAAGAAAAAGGAAAAAAGAGCCCATTTTCCTATAAAGCAATGTATTAACCTTTTTTATCTCATGGCACACCACTCGAACCTATAGTTAAACTTCCATGGCTCACTTAAATTATATTGATCAAAAAAAAGTAAAAAAAAAAGAATATACTTGCTGTATTTTGAACTTCTTTTCAAAATAATTTAATACATGATCTTTAAAAATTTTTGCAGTATGCCTAAGATCCTCTCAGGGCACGAGGGTTGAAAGTCACTGCTATAAAGGCAGGCCCCGAAGCATGCAGGCCTTGGCTTCCCATCCTGGACCATGCCACCAGCCTGCAGCACTCTGCGGCCTCCACAGTTTAAACCCCTGCATGGTCCCTTTCTCTATCCTTCCTGAGAGCCCAGCAGTTAAGGGTGGACATACCCTGTCTTCTGAGACACTTAGAGGACAGCACACTCCCACACCCAAGTCCATAGAGCTATAAGCACAACCAAAAGAAAGGAAAAACGCCTTCTAGGGTCTGAAAAACTCCCAAAGGCCTCCAGAAAGCACCAATTGTCCCCCAAGGCTGTGTCTGGGCATGAGGACCCTGCAAAATGGCCTGGGAGCTGAGCCGCAGGAAGCCCTATGCCAGCCTGGCTTGTGTGGACTGCTCTGTCCTCACACAAGGCCAGTGCATTCCTGGTCACAGGGGCCCTCACCATGAGTCTCTCTCACCCTCACATCCCTGGTACCCTGAAAGCCTGATGGTTTCTCTCAGCTGCCCCCAGCCTGACAGGGGCCTATCCTAGAGGCAGACTCTATAGTGAGGATGGGGTCTTGGGACTCAATCCCAGATATAACTGCTTCGGCCTTTGTATGTCCAGACCTCACCAATTCTGCTGCTGGAAGCCCCCTTCCCTGGAATGCTCTCCCTTCCAGACCTGGGCATTCAACTTGGAGCCCTAGGAGGGCTCAGACCATGCTTAGGGGACTGCAAACTTGAGAAGGCACCTGCCAAGAGCAACTGGGGGCCTGGAGCCAAAGACAGGAAGCCCCTGTAGGTGCCCAGGCCCTCTCAGGTCCCTGCATTGTTCCCAGATGCATGAGGGAGGGCAGCACGGAGCTTGGAAAAGACTCCAGGTCCAAGCTCACCAAATATCAAAAAGCACACTTCCTGCAGGGGGGCAGGAAGCAGTCAGCACTAACGGTCCTGCTGAATTAATTATTTCTAGAATCACTCTTTGAAGTAAACGTTACCAAATTCAGCAGCCTTCAAAGCTCAGCCATATCTAAACTCAACGGAGACACAGACACAGGGTCTAACAAATATTGTGGATTTCCTGTATCCTGGAAAACACAGCTCCCCTTACACAGCAACTGCATCTGTCTCCATGGGGACACCAAGCCCCAGGACAGCGGTGGGCAGCTGCGGATCCCAGGCGGCCACATGTGAAGGGGACTTTAAGGCAGCAGACAAGTGCTAACACAAACTATTTTTTTTTTTTTCATTGTTTGGGATTCACTGAGGGTACAAAGAATTAGATTATACTGATATATTTGTTAGGTAAAGTCCCTTTTATAATTGTGGCTAACAGAACTTAAATACTCTGCGGCAAATGCTGCTATTCCTTGAAAGAGTAAGACACCAGTTAGGGGACTCCTGGCCAGAATCCCAGGTGCCGCAGTTGGGAATAGCGTTACCTCCACTGACTTCCAGGCTAAGATGAGTCCTGCTCATACCCACTGCACCAAGGTTGCCTCAGGGAGAGAGCACACTGAGCCTGACCTATAAGAGGAAGATCACTCCCCGGCCAGTATGCAGGAGGAGCCCTGCTGTGGCATGGGAGTGGGTCCTGGTCAAATGTGGCTACTGGGCACTTGAGGTAGAGCTGGTAAGACCAAGGAGCTGCACTTTCCACTTGATTTCATCTACTTTTAGGAACATAGCAGACCACACTGCCATCCAACTGCACCATCTCAGCACACTGACAGGGATGCTATCTTCTCATTAAAGCCCGCTTTTTAATTTATAAAGTCACTATAATTCAAAGGAGCACAGAAAAATAAATACAACCAGGATGACATGATGTGCTCACGATGAAAACTTAAGTGACCTATAGCGAGGCCACAGGAAGTCAAACCCCCCAGTCTCAGAGCAGGTGTCTGACACTTTGGGCCTTCAGCCAATTGTTCTGGACCCAGCACCCCAGGCTCACATCTCAGTAATTGCTTGTTTCATATTTTCCAAGATGAGGGAAGGAGAAAATAGTTCAAAGAGCTGTAGCCACTCAGAGGGCAGTCAGAGAGCGGCTGCACCTCTCAGGTTAGCTAAATTTCTGCACACCAATAGTCAAAAAGACATGCTGAGCTGTGCAGGGTGAAGACATAGCATGAAATTCAGTGTCATGTAGAGGCACTTGTGAGGAAGATGTATGAACCAGTCAATAACTTGCTTCACCATCCCTCAAATTATCACCTGCTACCAAAGAAGAACCCTAGGTCACACTACCAGGAGCACATGGGAAGGCAGCTTCAACTCAGCTCTGTGCCTGGACTCCTCTGAGCAGCACTCTGGGGTGGATGCAGCCACTAGAGCCTCTAACCAGCTAATATCCCCCCTCCTGTGGGGTCCTCAAGTGGCTTTCACGTCGGCAGGTAGCCAGGTGAGGGCAGCTCCAGCACTGCTCACACGGCCCAACTATGGACAGACAGTAGGTGCTCCGTGCTGCCTGCCGGGGGGCCTACCTCACTGGAGTCTTGAGACACTACTGAGAAGCCTGGTGGGGGAGGGAGGAAAAGAGCTCAGTGCCGGACAGCCCAGCTTCCCTGACTTCCACTGGCCTTTGAATCCCCAATGAGGACTCCTGCCACCTTCAGACCTATGGCCAGGGAGCATGAGAGGACGTGCTCACCGTCCACCACTGGCCATGCCTGCCTGTGCACAGCTCTGAGCAGTACCCATGGCGTGCACATGGTTTGCTGCACAGAACTCAGATTTCTTGGTAACTGCCCAGAATTCAGTGCATCAAAAAACAGGGACCTCTCCCACTGCTTTAAAGAGCCAGGGCCTGTGGCTCTCATTCCGAGTAATGACTGGAAAAAATCATACTGTTGCAACTGCAGATAAAATAAGTAAATTTCACTAAGAAAATTAGGTTTGTTTATCTAAATGTTGGAGGGCAATTTTGATATCAAATAAAATGCAATTCATGCCACAAGGGGGCCCTTGGACTTAAGAAGGTCCAGGCAGTTCCTCCTATGTCTGTCCTCCCCTCCAAATTTACCAAAGTTTCTTTCCTTGGACACAACTTGGTATAACTAACAGGTTATGTACCAAGCCAGTTATGATCAGGTTGTGTCAGACCTGCAAATGGAAAAGGAATTCCTGGAATAATTCTTTCCTTGCTTCTTCGTGCTTAAAAAACAAACAAACACGAAAGCAATGAGCAGATGGAACATGGCAGAGCTGTACCTTCCCTCGGCCCTTGGTGCCCAGCCTGGGGCACAGATGGCGCCAGTCTGCAGCCTAGGTGGTCAGTATATTGGGACATGGGCCTAAGACAGCCTCCCTGTTGCTTTAGTTACCTGCCTTTTAAGGTGGATAAAAATCAGGATTTTGTTTTGGTATTTACATTTTAACAGATTCTGATGTTTTTCATTTCTTTGAGTAAATCCAAATTTCTGATACCACTGGTACTCAATATTTAGGAATGGAAATATGTAAGGAACAAAACCATTTAGAAAGTGACCTATAATATGAGGTCACAGGTTCTGGGGGCTGTGGAGAGGCCCAGATGAGATCCCCCCTTCTCTGTACCCCCGGTACAGAGAAGAAGCCAGAGGTGGCTGGTCTTGGGCCCATGTGCACCTGCAAGGCTTTGAGAGTGGACACCTGCTCTTCCACTGCCCTCCCTGAAGTCTGGGGACGGGGTGGTCCTACTTCCCAGTGATCCTGGAGCCTGTTGACTCACAAACCCACCCTGTGTCCCAGAACCTTACCAAGGCCCTAGGCCTACCTGACATACAACCAAAGTCCTCCCCACTACACCAGGCACTGCCCTATGCCCAGCACCATCCTCTTCCTGGCCTCTGGCAATTCCCTTCTTGCCTGGGCTGGGGGGACCTGAAATTTCCCTCCTCCACTGAACAAAGCACAAACCAAATTGCCTCAGTCATGCCCCACAGAGCCAGTGCCCTGTGAACTGCGCTCTCCCACCCCCGGCAGACATGGACACAGGTGCACGTGTCCTGGGGGAGGAACAGCTGAGGGCCTTCACCAGGGAAGGGGGCAGGTGGTAACAGTAGGTGTCCTGTGATTGTGACCAGCATTTGTACAGTGGCACTGGTCACTCTCTGGGCGGGAGCCAGTTTGGGGTAGGTAGAGGTTAAGGGATACTCAGTGCACACCTGGGAAGCTGGTGGCAGAGGCTGGAGCAATAAGAACAGCCAGGAGGAAACGCATGGAGATACCTACCCAACACACACGCCAGACTCACGGTTTGTTCTAAATGGTTTTCACTTACCAAAAGAATACCTGAAAAACAAAAAAAGAAAATTATATTAAAAAATTTGGCTTGCTTTGACCAGAAACTTACGTTTCTGGTAAAGTGAAATCACTGTGCTCCCTGCTAAGGGAAGCCCCCAGCTGCCTAGGAGTCCCCATGGGAGACAGTGTGGGGTCAGGGCAGCTGGTGCAGCAACCTGCTTGCTGCCAGACAATGGGTCTGGAAGCCCCACCAATACACCCCCAGGGCAAGAGGACACAGCAGGCAGCAAGTCACACACATCTCACCAAACATACACAGGGTGGGGTATACGTAGCCCCAACAACAAAACCCACCCCAATGCAGGACGAACACCTGCCCCAGCCCTGGGACCAATGTTGCCTCTGTGGCTGACCTGACCACACAGTGCTCAGTGAGCCCCTGCAGACACCAAAGGCCCTGAGCTTATGACTCCATTTATAGGGAGGCTCAGAAGAGGTACAACCTTAGAGACCGGATAGGTCAGCGGATGCCAGGAGAGGGTTGAGGTCAGCTCTAGATTCTTTTGGGGCTGAGGAGAATGTTCTAAACTTAGATAGGTGTTGGCTTCAGAACTCTGTGAATATATGAAACCATTGACTTGTACCCTTTAAATGCTTAAATTTTATGGTATGTGAATTATATCTCAATGAAAACCTTAAGAAAAAAACAGTTGCTTAATGAAATGCATTGGAATGAAAGGTTGGCAGGGGTGAGAACTGCCTGAAGGGGCACACGGGAGGGCAAGGAGGGGAGGAGGTAGGCAGTGCTCTCAGATACCTGTAGGGCTGGCTGTGGCCGCCAGGTGCCCTGCCTGCCCAAGTTTTGAATATATCTGTGATGTTTTTCCACTATGAAACATTAGAAGACACTGTAGGCCAGTGATAACAGATGACCTGAAACACCAGGTAGGAAGAAAGAGGGGCAGGGTGATGGAGGTTCGTTCTTTAGTCTCGGGGGTGTGCAGATGGTCCAGCACTTCTAGCACCCTCGTTATCATCCCTGCTCTGGTAGAATCACACTATTTATAGGTAGAACAATGTGATGCTGGGATTTGCTTCCCACTCCAGAGAAAGGGTGCCGGGAGGGAAGATGGACAATGCCTGGGCTATAGAACGAAAACCTTTTAAACCCCACTGTACACTGACTAATGCCAGAAGTAAATTTACCCCATAAATTCTCCTAATACATAACCTTATTGAACAGAAAAAGGGAGGAGCTGGGCTGATTTTTAAAAATTCACAAAAAATGAAATTTATATTTCCATCAGATCACACTGGAAGGGTCCAAAACAGAGAAAGCTGTCAGTGACCCCCTCACAGGCGAGGCCACCAGAGTACCCACGTCTGTGTGGGACAAGACACTGCTACTTTCACTTTGTTTGAAAACGGTCTCTTTGTAACTTCATCTATTCTGAATTTCAGTTTCAAGGCTGCCTGATAAATACGGTTTTTAAATATCGGCCTATTTTAGCTAATAACATAAAAAAACTAAAAAGTCTTCATGTCTTTTGTAGTTTTACTGTAGTTTTCAACAGCTAGTGCTTATCATAGACAATCTGACTTCTGCGGAGTCATGCTGGTGATTGTTTTGTTCTATTATTTTGTTCTTTAAAGGAAACCAAGTCAGCCAGGCATGGTGGCTCATAATAATCCCACAGTGGCCTGTAGTCCTAGCACTCTGGGAGGCCTAGGCAGGAGGACTGCTTGAGCTCAGGAGTTTGACACCAGCCTGAGCAAGAGTGAGACCCTATCTCTACCAAAAATAGAAAAACTAGCCAGGCATTGTGGTGGGTGCCTATAGTCCCAGCTACTCAGGAGGCTGAGAAAAAAGGATCGCTTGGGCTCGGCGCCTGTGGCTCAAGCGGCTAAGGCGCCAGCCACATACACCTAAGGTGGCGGGTTCGAATCCCCAGCCCGGGCCCGCCAAACAACAATGACGGCTGCAACCAAAAAATAGCCAGGCGTTGTGGCGGGCGCCTGTAGTCCCAGCTACTTGGGAGGCTGAGGCAGGAGACTCGCTTGAGCCCAGGAGTTGGAGGTTGCTGTGAGCGTGATGCCACGGCACTCTACCCAGGGGGATAGCTTGAGGCTCCGTCTCGAAAAAAAAACAAACAAAAAACAAAAACAAAACAAAAGGGTGGCTTGAACACGGGAGTTCGAGGTTGTGTGAGCTATGACATCACAGCACTCTACCCAGAGCGACAGAGTGAGACTCTATGTCAAAAATAATAATAATAAAATAAAATAAAGAAACTCAAGTCCTTCTTTGTTCTGAGGGTCCTGCTCCCCTGCAAGGCCCCTACATGACCAATAACCCTTCAGGTCTGTGGATCAGGGAAGCAAAGCTGATCATGCACAAGTGGGTCAGGCCTTTCCTGAGTGTCTCCTGCACGAAACAGATCCATTGAGGTCCAAGGGCTGACAGGTGTAATATACTGCAGCCTCTCACAGATGCGGGGGTGGACAACATTTACCCCAGAGAAAAATGGCAAAGGACAAAATCACAAGAGAAACAGAAACAACAACAACAAAAGCCCCAAAAACACTAATAGAGAAATGTGTTTAAATAATATTTTTTACTTGTAAAACGCTTAGAGACTCTTTCTGGAAATGTGATACTCTGTGTAGAGAAAGAGACATGGCAAGACCAGGCCACTGTAGATGGCTGCCTGCCTGAGGCACCCACCCGCCCTCATTACATGCACTTACACCCTAACAACCCATGTCTGGGGATCCAGGCCACGCTACAGGTCACAGGCATATAAAGTATGGTGAACTACAAGACTGCTCATGGAAGCATTATTTCTAGCAGTAAAAAAACCCCAAACAATGACTGAAGTATTGAAGGGTGGCACCTGGTCACAGCATAGAGCACATCTGACAGACTGCCCTGTGGCTACCACACTGGAGTCAAGAGGGAATGGCGCATCCTGGTACTGCCAGGAGCTGTGACTCTTGTTTTGTGAATAAAAAGCACACACATCACAGAGACCGCAGGGCACTAGGTAACAACCCTGCTGTGTCAGTAGTGAGACGTGGGACAGGCCGTTCCCACCTGCTGTGGCGGTGAGGAAGGCAGCACTGTCAGTACTGTTGTAGAACACTGGTGACACAGGGAGACATTCATAATCTGATGTAAAGTTAAAAAATGTCTACATAGTTATTTCAAACACATACTGCTATAAATGAGTACATAGCGAACATTAAGTGGAGTAGGGAATACCACAGCAATGCAGTAGAGGGAGAAATCAGGTCATGGGCTGAAAGAGGGCCCAGGAAGATACGTCCATACCTAAGCCACATCATATTTGGAGCTAGAGTCTCTCTAGAGGTGACCAAAGTAAGGATCTGGGAATGAGGTCATCATGGACTGTCCAACTACGAGTGTCTACCTGAGAGAAGGCATAGGAAAACCTGGGACAGACAAAGGGAGGTGGTCATGCAGCCAGAGCAAAGAGGTAGCCACGCGGCCACCAGCTAAAGGATGCCTGGGCCCTAGGAGCTGGGAGAGACAAGGATGAGTCCTCCTTGGAGACTTTAGAGAGAACACAGCCCTGCTGGCACCCTGATTCCAGACTTTTGGCTTGTAGAACTGTGAAGGAATAAATGTCTGTTGTTTGAAGCCTCTAGTGAATGGCCATTTGTTGTGACTAAAGAAGCATATATCCCCACAGGGTGATGGTGAGTGGTCTGGACACATCTCCATTCCCAGATGACCACCTCAGAGCACTGATTCACCTGCCAGGGAGCCAGCATCAGACCGAGGGCAGGCTGGGTGCCCTGGGAAGTGTCGTCTCCCACACGGAGTCCCAGCCAGGAATGCATGACCACAGGAAACAGCAAGACAAATCCCCAATGAGCAACCTTGTTTATTTCAAAGAGACACATGACTTTGAAACATCATTATAAAAGGTGAAGGTTGCAGAGATAGGACAACTAAACTCCACGCCTAACCCTAGATTGGAAAATAAATGCTACAAAGATCATTCTTAGGTCAGATGATAAAACTGGAAAATGAGATGAGGTCACAGTACAGAGCCCATGTTAAACTCACTGAGGTTGATTCCTATAGGACTGTATTTCTTAGGAAATATACTCCGAAGGATTTAGGGGTAAGGAGATTCATTAATCACATCAAAGTGGATGATAATGCTGTTATGATCTTCTATATCCTCACAGATTATTTTTCTGTTTAGTTGTTCTTTCAATTATTGAAAGAATAATGTTCAGTCTCTTAATTATAATTGTGAAGTTATGTATTTCTTCCTTTTAGTTCTATCCATTTTTGCTTCATACACTGTGAAGTTCTGTTATGTGATGCATATGCCTTTATGATTGTTATGTCTCTGTGATAAATTTACTCTTTTATCATCATGAATTGGCTCTCTATGTATTTGGTAACACTCCATGTCTTGAACTCAATTTTTCCTGAAGTTAATATAGCCAACTCTAGTTTCTAACATGTTTTGTGGTATATCCATCTTATCTTTTTTCTTTAACTTAATTGTACTTTTATACTTAAAGTTCACCTCTTGAAAACTGTATATACTTGAGTCTTGATTTTTCAACTGATTCTAAATCCCTACCTTTTAATTAGGATGTTTACTCCATTTATATTTAACATAATTATGGAGATGTATAGCTGAATTAGTTCTACCATTTAGTTATTTATACTTTCATTGTTCTATCTATTTATTTTTTAATCCCGTTCTCTCTTTCTTGCCTTTTTTTGGCTTCAGTAAATATTCAATTTAAATTTTAATCACTCCATTGGTTTTTCAGCTATGCATCTTTATCTTAGTTTAAAAACTGCCCTAGGGCTAACAATATGTATCCCTAACTACTTGCAGTAGACCTAGGGTTAACATTTTACCTGGAAGAGAGCACCTGGATCAGATGCACAGGGTCAGAGTTACCAAGTACCCACAGGGCCAGACTGCTGTCTTCCCTGTATCCAGCCAACTGAAATGTTGCTCTTTTTATTTGGTAATTCTAGAAAACCTTCAAAA